CATAATTCAATATATAGTAAACAAACTTCTCACTTCTATGATCACGTTGAGTATGTCAGGCAATAAGAAATACACAAAACTTTCTGATTTGTGTAATTGTACATTATGTCACTACAACCTAAACTTTTTTAATAGAGGCTACATGTTTTTAAAATCACGATTTTAGTCTGCTTAAGTCCCATAATACATTCTTTACAGTACTTTTCATCTCCACAGATTTGATCCACCTTCACCAGAAACCCTCAGGCCTTAGTCTCCATATAAACATCACACACCACAACACTACATCTTCTCAAAGGCACCAGAGTTCTTCACCCCTGCAGCCATCACAGCAAAGAAAAAATTAGGGAAGAAGGATCTGGCGTAGACGGCCACCTTGGGGAGTGAGGGAGCAATTACCACCTCTTTCTTCTTGTTGTTTAGCGTCCTGACGATCTCAGCGGCTGCTTCGTCTGGGGAAACTCCGAGGGGTTTCTTAGTGTACAACACTGCAGAGACAGAACCAGGATGGTTACGATAGAAAAACAATATCAGGCAAATAATAAAGCTTTTATTTAAAGTCGTCTGAAAACATAATTAAACTTCAACTTAACCATAGTTTGTTGTATATATGTGAATTTTATAAAATGTTTGAAATGGAACTTAACTTCCTGAAGTATTAGAGTGTATGTCACTATGTTTTACCCCGCATATTTAAAAGGCTATCCATCCAAATATACGGTAAGTTTATAAAATATTCATGTCATAGAATAATCGGGGGTTCCCAAACTCTCCTGCCCCTGATCCTCCAAAAATAAGTTGCAGATGCTTGCAACCCTCATTATCCCCAGTTGAATCATACAAAGGTTATTGATTTGCAAGAAAATGCAGCAAGGACCTAAAAATCCTAATAATCACATTTATATTGGGAAATTGGTAGGCTCATGACATATTTTCATAATTAACATGGTCTTATTTGACATTAAATCAATTATTAGTCAAATATGCTTCTGTAATTGTTTTTTTAATTGTATTTAGTTTCTGGAAATCATCTCACAACCTCCTTGCAGTGTCTCGTGACCCTTCAGGTGGTGCCAACCAGTGAATAAACTACCCAACAGTGTATACAGTTATATTTGACAATATTAAAATGCATCTGATGTTAATTCGGTGAATCAGCAACAATATTCCAATAAAACATATACTGCTTTTATATTTGTATTACATGTGGTACATGTTGCTGGTTAATTATCTGTTTGTTTTTGAGGGGTTTTTTCAACAATTGAATTGTTGGCATTTTTTTCGTTGGTAAAATGATATAGAGAGTTGTATACACTCTTAACCGCTAAAATGTTCAGAGCGACCAGAGAGACCTGACCTGAAATTGTAAAGACACTTGATGCTAAATAATGTGTTTGATCATACATCTGCCTAGTTTCCTTTGATTTTACTCACGTGACCAGAAGGATTTGGAGGAGGCTGCCTCTGTGTTTACAGCCGCTGTGCTGCTGATGAAGGTGTGGTTGATGGTGCTGACGAAGATGCCATACTCTTCCACCTCAGCTCTCAGGCAATCAAAAAAGGCCTGAACTGCATGTTTGGAGGCTGCATCTGTAAAGGTAGCTGATCTTAGAGCCCCAACTACTCACAGGTCACACATTTCAAATCTGGCAAGCAATCACAAATAAAACATTCAAAAAGAGACATAGAACAGAGAATACCTCCAAAATATACAAAATGACCAGAAAGAAACAAAAAACAATCATAGAGTGACTAAAACAACCGGAAATAGACAAAATAACCACAAAGTTAATAGTAGTAAACTGCTAATTAGCGCTTGGCAGTGCTGGGAATGTGATTATTTAGCAGGTACTTGGCCATAAACCAAAATATTGGACAAATTGTAATTTTAACCTGCGGATAGCACTTGAAGAAACGTCTGACGATCATCAACATTATTACAGTTGATCTGACAGTTAATACAGTTCATAACAGAGGGGAGCATTAATATCCAACAAACCTGCTCTTAAGCATTAAAGGTTCACTGTGTAGAATTTAGTGATATCTAGAGGTGAAGTGTCATGTTGCAGCTGAATACTCCTCACCTCACCCTCCCTTTCCAAACATGAGAGAGAACCTGTGGTGAACTCCAGTTGTCATGAAAATTCAAAAGGTTTTAGTTTGTCCAGTTTGGACAACAGTAAAAAACGTGGCGGCCTCCACAGAGCAGACCCCCCCTCCATGTAAATATAAAGTATTTAAATATAAAGGATTCATTCTAGGGTAAAGAAAACAACAATTCTTACAATTTAGATGAAACACTCCAGTGAAAACATCAYTAGGATTATTTTATATTCAATTTCTTCCCAAAAATCCCTTTCACCTAAATCTTACACACTGTACCTTTAAATGTTTCCTTACAACACTAAGACACTGCAGCACTAATAGCTACCAAGCCATTTGTGTCATTTATTTAAAGGGATACATTCAGTCAAGTTCGTAATTTAGATCAAAACATTCGACTTAATTAGAGAATGGAGGACTCTTGTTAAGTGCCCCCCCCCCACTTCTTTTTTAAAGAAATTAACATCTCGTGTGTTTTCTATCTAAAACCTTTGAACTCACATGTAGAGCGAAAAGGAACAGCGAGTTTCCCTTGGATACTGTTGACGAGGAGCAGGTGACCAGTTCTTCTGGAGATCATGGACGGTAGCACACCTGCAGAACGGAGACACAACCAAAGAAGTGTGACAGCACTCCTTCACCTCTGCAGCCTGAAATCCTAATCTATGTGTTTCTATCATAGACTCAATGTAAAGTTGGATGACATGACAGCTCCAAAATTGAAGCCAAAAAATCTAAGTCTCCACCTGGTGGCTGGCTTCAGTATGGGTCATAAACCCAGCCTCCTCCATGTTAGCAGATTGGACATGGACCAAACTAAAAAGTACACATAAAAGTACTAGTGCATTTTTTTTCTAAAGATGGTTTCTGTCATATTAGGTAAATCTTATAACACTGATGAATTTGTGTTTCTGATGAGTTTGATTTTAAAACATGATGATTGACAGCTGACACTGACTTGCGATTGGTCAACAAAGACCTCAAAATGGTGGCTCCACTCCTCGATCACTACTGCACAGACTCTGGCACAAAATTATGTTTCCAGTACAAGATGGCAGCACTCGTATCCAGTTTTTTTTTTGCATCATTTTTGTTTAATAGTAGGAGGTGGAGATGTGTCATTCTGTCTTTATTCCAAGCTCGTGGTTTCTATCCTCTACCTTTAGTCACTGTGACTGGTCCAAAGTAGTTGTTGTCCATCAGTAACTTGTCCATCTCCAGCGACAGACTCTGTGCAGGTGCTTTGACCTTCATGC